GATGGGTGGTAGGTTTCCGACACAACAATACGTAATACCTTCTGTGATCTATTCTGGGATTTAATTGGGGTAATAACTAAATTAACATTGATAACGTTTGCAAGAAATTTATGAATTGATGACAGATCATAGAGCCAAAGATGTAATTTCCTGGGGTTTCTATCTTGGGGATTTTCTTAGAGCTTGCTTGACATTATTCTTAGTTATATTTTTCCATTCTTGCACAGGTTTGTCCTTCATTACGTTCTTGCTCTCGATTAATCCACTCTGCATTGGAATTATATTAATTTAGATTGCTTCAAATATTCTCTCAAAAATGTTTGCACTTCTTCAATAGATAGTGACTTTTTGACATCCAATTTCGCTAGAAATCTTCTTGAGGTCCTTTCGGAGAATCTTATTTTATGGATAAAACCTACATGTGTTTTAATTGCAGTTTCTGTTTAAGTATTTCTTTGATTGGTGGAATTTCATTTACTGCTTTAATTTTATATTTCTACTTGATTTTGTTGCTTTTTCGTGATGAAATATTTGAATTTTTTGAGATCTCATCTATTATCGACAGCTCATATCTGATTTCCTCAATGTCTCGATGTAATTTTGTCCTCCACGTAAGGATTTTTTCTGATGTTTAATCTTTTATTCATCTTTATACTAAGTTTTTGAGTAGCTCCCAAAGCTTTTGAATATATGACATTATTTATTTCTGTGATGTTTTCCAGTGGTCTGTCCGTTAACGATGTTTGCAATACAACGTTATATATTTGTACAATATATTTATTGGATTTGCCAAATGGAATTTTGGAAAGCCAGTCTCTTTTTAACATGTGTGTGCGTGTTATTTTGTCGATTATTTGAATGTTGTGTATTTTGTTTCGGTAATTTCAACTTTGTTGTTTTCAAGGATTTCTGTTTTAATGTTTTTTGATTCGTCTTCATTAGTGCCAGAATCTGAATCAAAACAATTGTTATTGTCGCAGCTAGATTCTTCCGTTTTAAATCCTGAGAAATCATTATTTCGTATCTCATTTAATTTGTATCTCATCTGTCGTATTATCTATTTCTAATCTTGACTCATCTTTGTTTGGGATCTGATTGTACTTTGTCTATATTTAGTTTTATCTTATCGATTTCTGTATTTTAGAAACTTTCGCCTCATGTTCGTGCAGACATTGGCAAGGATATTTGGATCGAGATAGGGTCTTTCCACATTCGGCAGTCTGATAGGTGATTTTCTTTTGTGAATTTTCGTGTGCTGTGAAAAAAATATGGCATGACTTGTTTATACTTTCCACGATTCGATTTTGTTCGGTTAATTTTTATTAATTGATTTGGCATTAAGTCACCAGATCCATTATTAGAGTAAATCCGGTTTTGGAAGTCTAGGTTTCTCATAATTGGTGAACGAGTTCCAGTGAAAGATTTCCGACCCCAGACTGGTACCTTTCGGAGGGAAGCGGCCCTTGTTTATCCGAGTGACGTCCAATCCGGTATTAGTTTTTGTTTATAAACATTAAGATTTATATTTATTTTTGATTTTTATCCTTAACCGCCAGGGTGTAATTTTGTTCAAGAAACCACCCTCAGGACGACTTTCAACCAAAAGTAAACAGCTCGTCTTACTCATAGGACACGGCTATTCCGCGCCATTATCACCCTGATATTAATAAGTCACAGGGAGTTTTATTTATGCATTTATTATTATTATTATTATTATTATTATTATTTCCCTTGATTTCTGTTGTGAACACATTTCTTTCCGGGTTCCGCCTAGAGATCTAAGGTAAGAAAAGACATCATGATATTTTCCATTGACAAAAAAAAAAAAAAAAAAAGAAGAAAGGCTTTATCTATGCAATCGTCAGGCGGCATGACGAACATTTCTTTTTCTAGCATGAAACATCCTGTCGCCTCTGAGTGTTGAGGTCAATGTTCACTTTATATATATATATATATATTAGTAGTAATCTTATAGGTATAAGAAATTATACTCATTCCAAAAACCTTCAGTGTTTTGATTTGCAAATAAACAAGCCAATACCAAAGGGAAAAAAAGGTATAAAAAAAGAAAGAGCCAAGAACATGTCCGTCAGCCGAAAATAATCGTCTAGCATGCAAGTCCAAGGCCCAAAGAAAAAAAACCTGATACGAGTAAGCAAAATAACTAAATAAAGTGCTCGATACATTTATCCTGGAGCAGACCTAGTTAAACCTCGAGAGCCAGACAAACCTAAATCAGGTTTCATCAAGCACATAGTCGGGAAGACTGACGATCCGCTTATTGAAACCTTTGTAAGTTTGTCTATATATCTATATTTAATATATATATATATATATATATATATATATATATATATATATATATATATATATTATACTCGATGTCTGAGTAAACACTATTATTACTACTACTTTAAATGATAAAAATAAAAACAAAATAATATATATATTTATATATTTATATATATATATATATATATATATATGTATAATTATAATTATGTATATGGGAAAACGATTTTAACATATTATATTGTCGTTACTCTTGTTGTTGTCATTATTATTATTATTTGTGTATGTTATGTTTCCTGCTTTGTATACTGCAGAGTCCAAACGATAGCCGCTCCAGTGTCCCATCCTATACCAAACGGCACCAGATGTGACGTCGTCCCCCGGTCGCAGCGCCGAAAATGACGTTCTATCCTGATCCACCACGGCACCAGTTGTGACAAAATAACTAAAAACAGCACCAATTGTGACGTCCTTGCCGTGGCGCCAGCTGTTCGCTCCTCGCTGCTCCGTTCGGGTGTCGCTGCTCCAAACGTGACGTCCGCCTGTCGCGTCAGTCGTGTTGTCTCGTCCTGTGACGACCAACTGGCTTGGTATCGGACGCAGCACCCATAATGTGACGTTATATATATTTTGGTGATTCGGATGGGAATCTGGTTAGATTTGATATCATTCGTCGTTCCCAACTCGCTTCCAACGCCTGGTTACCAAAGTAACTGCATTGATCTCCAGTCTGCCTACCCATATTGTGAATTGATCTTTAGACAAACGAGATCAAACAGTGGTTGGGGCCGTAATGCAAACTGAGTTCAACGGGGGTGATACCACACAAAATATGCATAAAAGAAAATAAAATGAAAACTCGAAAAGTTCAAAGTATCAAAGAAAAAGGTAACAAATTTTATGTCTAGTTGTTCGATACATGGGACTGCATCTATCTCCCGACCCGTTCTGTGGATTGTGACACGTCGTTTTCCGTTAGGCAAGTTTTAACGAAGAAGAAGTTGCTTGCTCTAAGAAGAAATTGGCGTTTCGGTGTGTCTTTGGACGAAAGTCGAAAATAAAACTATTTCAGTGGTCTGGATCTAAGTCGCTCTTCAAAATAATTGTTCTTGGGTTGAAAGAAGTCCGAAAAAATTTGTGTGAATCTTGGTAAGCTATCTGCGAGGCGGCTTCAACTCTGAAACTCAACTCTCCGCTGGAGCTCGAACTGATTTCTGCCTGTTGGGGCCTCGCTTTTATTGACGCCGACCAAAACCGAGGTGGGTCTGTCGGCGTCAGGGGTCCCCTCGATAATTTAAATACATATCCACCTCTTTTATTTCTGGTTATGTGGAGAAAACTCTTTTCCATTTTGGGAAGAAAAAAGGTGAACTCACACTTTCTCACCATAAACTTCTGAGGTGCGTGAACTGCCTCCCCACTTCCTCGTAGCAGCTTCTCATACTTATACTCTGGATGAGGCGTCGACAGCCTTCTTCGTGCGTCACGTGATCACCACTCGGCCAATGAGGGTATCTTTCCTCCTCCTTCGTGCGTCACGTGATCACCACTTGACCAATGATGTCTTAGTCGGGCGTGAACGAATCCGCGGCTTTGTTTCGAGAAATTTCGCTTAAAAAAAAAATCTCTTCTCTTTCCTTTTCTTCCGCTTTAATCGCCGTTATCATTTTTCTAGCCGCAAACGGACAATATGACAACTCTTGTTCTACACGTGGTTTTGTGTCAGGTATTTTATCGCTAATTATCAAAATGGGTTGTCTTTCTTGGCCTCAAAGAAATATCTCTAAAAGATTAAGTCAGTCTATCGCTCCAAGGAAGAAGAATAATTTTTCTGGGTCCCCATTCATTTTCCTTCGGTACATATTTTCTGATAACATAATTTTATTATCGCAGGCCAAATTTTGTTTCGTCGAAAAAAATCGGTCAGCGGACACGATTTTGTGTGGCATTTAAATTTTCATATCTCTCCAAAAGTCCTTTTAGTTGCCTGTTTTTCGTCACTTATCGAAATAGAATTTTCACTTGAATTTTTCCCTGGCCAGTCGACCAGCCGTTTGCTTACGTACCCTAGATAACACAGCCGTTATCAAAACACATCTGTTTCTTTTTTTTCTTTCCCTTTCTTTTTACTCAGAATTTCCCTGTCATTGTAATGATACCCTTTTCGCCATTTGTTACTTATCAATATATTCATTGTCTCTTAGCCGTGTGTGTGTTTTGCTGATCACCCACGATTCGTCTCGCCTTTCTATCTGCCTCCTTTTCTTTCTTTTCCTTTCTCTGCCTCGTAAATGGTGCCACAAGACCATATAGGAGAATTGTCATTTAATTGATACTACTTTCTTCGGAAGAGATTTACCTTGTAGGCCGATCTTCTGGGCAACTTTTATGTTGATCTTACCTAGGTCACTCTTAATAAAATTGTCTATTCTTTTTCTCATGAGGCCCAGAGCACCGATTACTGTTGGTAGAGTCTCAGTCTTCATTCCTCAGATCCTGTTAATCTCGATCTCCGGGTCCTTGTATTTCTCGTTAATTTTCATGAAAGAGTTTTTTTCTCAGATATCACTGGTATGTCAAACTTCCTGAATTTCTTGCCTTTTATGATAATTTTAGATCTGTTGTCTTTTTATTTTCCTTTCAGTTTGAATTGACACGTCGCATAGGATAGATACATCGTTATATTGTCAGGATATTATGTTATTGTGTCAGAACATGATTGCCCACGTCCTGAAGAAACATGCCGCACAAGAAGAAGAAGACGAAGAAGGCGACGATGAAGACGACGAAGAAGACGACGAAGAAGGCGACGAAGAGGAAAAAAGAGAATATGAAGAAGCCGAAGGTGACGAAGAGGAAAAAAGGAGAGAATGAAGAAGAAGAAGAAGAAGAAGAAGAAGAAGAAGAAGAAGGCGACAAAGTGGAAAAAGGAGAAAATGAAGAAGAGGAGGAAGAAAAGGACAAAAAAGAAGAAGAAACAACATGAAGAAAAGGAAAGGCGTAGAAGAAGAAAAGGAAGAAAAAGAAAATGAAGAAGAAGCAGCAGCAGCAGCAGCAGCAGCAGAAGAAGAAGAAGAAGAAGAAGAAGAAGAAGATAGCAGCGAAAGGCAAGTATGAGGAGAGATTTGGGGCTAAGTTTCAAGGAAAATACGAAATTATAAACGGAATTCGAAATAAATGAGTGAAAAAGAATTATGTGGAAAAACTAAAGTCTGAAGTACAAGAAGAAGAAGAAGAAGAAGAAAGTGAAAAAAAAAGAGAATAAAAAATCAAAAGAAGAAGGTGAAGAAGAAGAAAAATAAAGTGAAGACGAAACAGAAGAAGGCGAGGAAGAAAAAAAAATAATAGTTGAAGAAGAAGAAAGAAGGTGAAGAAGAAGATGATAAAAAGGTAAAGCAGGAGAAAAAGAAGGTGATGAAAAAGAACAAAAGAAAAAAAGATGATAATGAAGAAGAAAGAGGAGGAGAAGAAGAAAATGAAGATGGTGTAGAAGAAGAAGAAAATTAGAGAAAGAAGAAGGTGAAGAAGAAAAAGATGAAGAAACAAAAGGTGAATAAGAAGAAAAAAGAAGCCGAAGAAGAAGAGGTGATTAAAAAAAGGTGAAGAAGAAGACGATGAAAAGGCAGAAGAAGAAGAAGAAGAAGAAGAAGGGAGGAGGAGGAGGGAAGAAGAAGAATAAGGGGAGGAGGGGGAGGAGGAGAAGTAGAAGAATAAGGAGGAGGAGGAAAAAGAGGGGAGAAGGAGGAGGGGAGGAGGAGAAGAAGAAGGAGGAGAAAGAGAGGAGGAGGAGGGGGGACAATCTTGGACTCAGCCATAGCGAAGGATTCATTGTTTCAAATTGATTCTTTCATTTTTCTTCTTTGCGTTGTTTAGCTTCCTTCATTTTCTATGACCTATTTCATTATTTAGTCTCTCTTTTATTTTTCATTTTTTCCTATTTATCATTGCTCTCCCTTGCACAACATTTATGTTCGTCTGCGTCTGTCTCCGCCATTTCATTCTTCCTTTCTCTTTCACCGCCACTACGCCAAATCCTCTCGCTACTTTTCTATTATTTGGGCTGTTTTCTCCGTCTGCTGGCCACCTCTTCACCGATCGTTATTCTCCTTCCCCTATCTTTATATGCATCCGGTTTTGATTCCAATTCAAGCATATCCCCGCCTAGTTTCCGACTGGCCAGTTGGCAAAATCACAATTCCTTTTGCAATCAATCGTCATAAAAGTTCCGCCGTTCCGGCAATCAACCATCTTTTAGATTTCAATTCGATATTTATTCAATTATTTATTTAAGTATGACTTGCATCTATCTATCTATCTATCTATCTATCTATCTATCTATCTATCTATCTATCTATCATTATATATATTGGTTTGGTTTGTTTTGTTTTACGGTATGTCAACCTCAATGGGTTATTTAATGTCGTTAAGACTTTTATTGCTGATAATATTTTGATCTATCTATCTATCTATCTATCTATCTATCTATCTATCTATCTATCTATCTCAGGCTCTTCCTCATCTATCTATCTATCTATCTATCTATCTATCTATCTATCTATCTATCTATCTCAGGTTCTTCGTCATCTATCTATCTATCTATCTATCTATCTATCTATCTATCTATCTATCACAGGCTCGTCATCTATCTATCTATCTATCTATCTATCTATCTATCTATCTATCTATCTATCTATCTATCTTATAGCTAGCTAACTAAATTTTTTTGTGGTTACCTATTGCCTGAGTATATATACACATATATATTTTTCTTTGCCGCAAGCTTATGTCTGCATTAAGACAGATTTAATTCAAAGAATTGATACATACTCGGGTATTGTAATTTTCATCTATCTATCTATCTATCTATCTATCTATCTATCTATCTATCTATCTATCTGTCTTATTGTGATCATATCTATAAACATATTCATATATCTTTCCATCTCAGTTTGTTAACGTTTATTTATATATTTATAAAATTGAATTACCTTATGATATCCGGTCACTGATTTTCAGTAAAGGACAGTTTGGTTTACGAGCTAATAGAACAAACAAAGAGATCTACTCATAAAGGCCTGATTTAAAAATCCTAGTGACACAAATGGGTCTTTATATATATATATATATATATATATATATATATATATATATATATATATATAGTGTGATGGATAAATTTCACCTTTTATAGTTTTTATTTTGCGCGTG